CAAGATGCAGCAATTTCAATGCCGCATCTAGTTCCCGCGTCTCGTTTTTCTTTTCTTTACATTCATTGTCAGAATTTTTTTTCTCTTATCATCACCATCATCATTATCAATAACACATTGTGTATAATTTTAATGTGTGTGTGTTTGTATATTTGAATATTTCATATATTTATTCTGAATTTATATATAGAATTTATTTCCATTTTAATATTGGCTCATTGGTGATGATATTGATGATGACTTGTATGTTTGTATGGTATTATCATTCAATGTAAATTTTGAAATAATTTTTTTTTCATCGAAAAAAAACCATATCCATACATAATAATGATGATGACGATATAATCCCTTAAAGTTACATTGAACATCATGTTGTAACAAACAGATCAAAAAAAAAAAAAAAAGTTATATCTACATAATAACAATGAATGATGGAATGAATAAATATAACAACAACAAGAACAACAAAAAAAACCAATACCAACATCCAAAAGCTGTGGATAATTAACTTTAACAAGAATAAATACCAAAAATAGTCAATTGTTTAGGCCTATAGGCCTATACACATCGATTGTGAACAGAATCAAACAACAACAATAACATTTTCAAACCATAAATTTGTTTGTATGACAACAAATATCGATAGCAAGTAGCTTAAAACATTCCATAGAGAATGAATAAGTGCCACTTCAATCTTTTCGGTAGCTCTATTGAAACAAAAAAAAATCAATCTTAATTGTTTGAATTTTAAATTGATCAATGGTCATCAAAACTGTTGGACAATTCCGATGTGTCCGAAAAAAATTATTCAAACCATTCATGATTACTAATTAAATTTATTCCGTTTTATAAATGTCATACATGTATCGAATGCTGCATTTGTGATGTGTGTGTGTGTGTGTGTGTTTGTGTTTGTAAGGCAAAAAATTCATTCAAATAAATTAATTTTTTTCAGTAAAACATAAAATGAACTGGAAAGTAAATTATTCACTACACACACACACACACACCGTCGATTCTGCATCGTATATTGGAGAGAAACAAACAAACTTTCATGCCCCAATTTTCATGACAAAAAAACAACAACAAAGCGGCCTAGTGAAGTGGTGATGGGAGTCTATATTGCCGAAAAGAAAAAAAGTTGGACCAAAGTTTTTTTTTGCAATTTCAATGTGTCTGGCAATGACAGACCAAGTCAATTGGAAAAAAATCAATGTATGTTTTTTTTGCCCATACAAATATCAACAACAAACAACATTGGCCAAAAAAAAAAAAAAAATTCTCTATGAATTCTCTTATTAGAAAAAGAAATAGAGAAACAGAAATCAATTTGATTATTACGCCCTATGGCTATGACCGATTATCATGGCAATGATGATGATGATGATGTTTTTTGATCAGTTTCTTTTCCATTCATTTTTGTCTGTTCCTTTTTCATCATTCATTTTTTTTATCATTTATGATCATTATATTTTAATGTTGCTGAATATATAAAATATGTATGTGGGAAAAAAACAGAGTATTATGCAATATATATAGCTGGAACATTGCCTGAAAACTCGATTAATGGTGACAAATATATGTATTCCATACATTATGGAATCTGTCAGAAACAACAACTAATGAATGTGAATGATTGAATAAATAATTGGAACATTGAACTCGTTCTCTCACCAATTTTTTTTTCTCAAAGAATATTATCGACCAAACGATTGACAAAGAATGCAAAAAATGGACAAAACAATCCCCGGATGACAATTTCCCTTTGGAGAATTTTTTTTTGTTTCTCAACCGAATGAAAAAAAAACAAAAATCTGGTCACCAGATAAAAAAATCAAACATCATAAACCAGTTAGAAAAACTTTACGAATTTTTATGTTGTCTATTTCATTCTACTCATAATAAACAGAATGATTAATTAGAAAGCCAAATGAAACTAAGCGTATAAATACCAGAAACTGATATAATTCATTCAATAAAAAAAGAAAAAAAGGCCAAGATGGATGGATGAATGAATGAATGAATATGGAATAAATGAGAACAAGACAGCAACAAAAAAAAAAAAAAAATTCACGTCTTCGATCATTTTAATCAACAACAAGACACGCAAATATTATTATCACGAAACTACAAAAAAAACCAAAATGATATGATTGAATCGATTTTTTTTCTTCACTTCATTTATCGAAAACTTTTCTAGTTTTTTTTTTTTTTGGTTTTCTATATTTCATTTGAATCAAACAATCTCCATGAAAACATTGGAACAATTATAGACAAAAGTATTTCGAAAACATTTTCCATAGTATTCCAAAACAAAATCTTTATGAGATACAAATAACAATCAAAATTGTCATGAAGGATTGAACTTGACATTATTATCGATCAAAATCAGATTCTTCAAACATGGAACAAACACTCATTTCATGTACATTGGAGAAATTCGTTCAATCTTCATTCAAACTGGCATAACATAGCATTTCTTCATGTTTACTTACCTGAAAATACCGGTTACAACAAAAAAAATCAGGTTCCTAAGACAATACATGACATTAAATAGAATGAATCATTCGATTCTTTTTACAAGAATTTTTTTTTTTTTTGAGAAAATTACACAAAATTTTAGATGTAGAATAAAATGAAAAAAAAAACGTTGACAAATTGACAGAGAATGATAACTTTAAAAAGAAAGAAAAAAAGACATGAATTTATGAGAAAAAAAATAATCAAAAAACAAGCAAGAAATAAAAACGAATTTATCAAGTTTTTCCAATGCGTTTGTGTATGTGTGCATGTGCATTTCCGCAACTAGAAAAGTAAAAAAAAAACAGAATATTTCAAAAGACAAACCCAGATATGCAGATATCCAAACAAATTCTCTCTTTTTTTTCTACAATCAAGTATCATCATCATCATCATCATCATGATCATTAAAATTAATCAAAATTCATAATTCTTCAGCTAGCATAAAGGGAACAAACCAAAAAAAAAAAAAAAAACAAATGAATGATTAGTATATGAAGAACAAGATTGATGCGTCTATCAAATTGTTGTTGCCAATGAAATGAAAAAAAATAGAAAATAATAGAACCCCTTATCTAACAACTACAGTGTACAACTCAAATGATGATGATCACATTTTTTTGGCTACTTAATGTTATCATTAAGGAGGTTTTTCTTTTCTCTATGTGAAACAATACGGTTCTCGAATTTCTTTCCATTCCATTACATTCGAATTTTTTTTTCTTTCATATATAAAGACTTTCAGTTTTTATTCTTAGCGCCTGTCAAATTCATCATTTTTTTCATTCTTTTTGAACAGATTTTTTTTCATTGAAAAAAAAAAAATAAAATAAAATTCAAACAGGCTACTGAAATTGTTTGGAAAAAAAGTTGGAATTCATTGGAAAAAGAAAACGTAAAATATCCACCAGTAGACTTGAATCATTTCAAATCATTTTGGATAGTTTTTTTTAAATTCGGAATGAAAAAAAAGTTCAAAACAAATCATGGAACTGTAAAGTGAAAGACTAAATTTTAATCCTCAAAGAACGATGCAAAGAGAAGGCCAAACTTTGAACCATCATATGATGATGACAACAAACACAAACAAACAAGAAGAAATTCAACAGGATCAAACGACAAATAATGACGACGACAACGATGAAGAAAATTCTCTTGGGTTCCAATTATTTTCGATTTCATCACACACACACACAAACGAAAAAAATAACTGTAAAAAAAAAAACAAAAATAGTTTGCGTGATTCAAAAATAGAATATTTTTATTTTATTTTATTTTTGTTTAGAATCATTAAAAATTGTTTGTTTGAGTCATCGATTGTTTTTTTTGTGGAAAAATAACCTTTTTTCCCCTTTTTCGATAATCGATTTTTATAGATGAATTATTGCTGTCTTTTTTTCAGAATTTCAAGATTATTCGTTTGATAAATAAGAGAAAAAAAATTGAACCTTGAAACTATACTATTTTTTTCCAACCACATCATTATCATAACTTTTAAAAATTTATTATTGTCAATATATGTAAATGGATCGATAATTCAATCCAAATTAGATGTAATAAAAACAAAAACAAAAAGTCAAAATCATGAGTGTGTCCTTTGTCCAAATCAGACATCGAATGGCCTGGTTTTTTTAAAATCTTCATCACGTTGTGTGTGTGTTCGGACTATCCTCCATTTACACATAGAATGTCCAGTCAACACTAGGAGTAGTCAACAAATTAGATGACATGATATATTACATAAAGTGTAGGTGCGATTATATTCTCATCATCCAACAAAGTAAGTTAAAATGATGATGATGATGATATTTAGCTATGTCATTAATTAAAAGTTTATTTTTATCAGAAAAATAATCAAAATAAATAAAAAAAAATTTTCTTGATTACCGATAAATGATCTTTTTTTCCTTGAATAATAATATCGTTGACCACCATCATCATCATCACCGCCACCATCACCGTTGATCACAGGCCAAACCTTTTTTTTTCTTGCTCACTTTTTTTTCTATTCTTATCGATAACCTTACCTTACCTACCTGTGTTTGACATCAAATATTACATGTTGAATTGAAACAGAAAAACTGGGAATATTTTCATTTTTTTCGAATATTTTTTTTTTATTTCAAATGATTGATGAAAATCAGATTCTTTTTATTTTTTTTTTCAAGATTAGATACACTCCCAATTTTTTTTCTCCGTTTTGCTTCGCTTTAATCAGTTTGACGAATTATTTAACAAAATTTATATATATCATCATCACAAACACATTTACGATTCAATTTAATCGATATCACATATATACAAATTGAGTCATTACAGGAAAAAAAAGGAATGGCCCTAAATGATAAATTTACCTCTTTTGTTTGTCTAAACTAAACAAGGTCTTTTTGAAGTAAAACAAATTCTTGTTACGATTTTTTTTTTCACAGCAAACAGAAACAAAAAAAATGAAATGAAATGAAAATTCCTTCATAACATACCTGTATCGTCGTATGGGAAGGAAAGTGCCCTGCCTCCATTATGGCTTAATACAAATGCCATTATAAATGTCATTGTCCAACGCCAAAATAATGATGTCATTGTTGATGAATGTTGGTGATAATGATAAGAAGGTTTCACATCATATGATGGAAATAATTTATTGATGTATCGATGATGTTCAATGTTATTATCCGATGATGATATTAATGTATATGATGATTGTTGTAAACAATGATTATTATTATGATATTTTAACGATGTAGATGATTGGGTGGTGGATTTAAATGGTCGATTGTACTGATGATGATGATGATGATGATGATTGTTGTGGGAATTTGTTGGACAAGAATTCGGAATTCGATTGCAATGATTATAATGATGGTTTGAATTCATATTTTGATGATTATCAAATGATACCGGCGATGTGATTGCATTATATGATGATGATGATGATTGTATCGATGAAGAATCGATCATCATCTTTGCCGTTTTCGTCATCGTCGTCGTTGAAGACAATGAAGACAATAATGAAAATGGTGATGATGATAATAATTTTTTTCTCTCACGTTTTGCCATTTTTATCTGATTATTATTATATATTTTTTCTCAATATAATCGGATAGATGACGAAAGGAATTTAAATTTTAACACAACTAGACACACACACACACACACACACACACAAATACAGGATGTATGTATTGAAGAAAAAACCAGATGGAAATAGGATCAAGATTTCAAATGACAAAAAACACCAGAAACCATTGATTAGATATGAATAATATACACTCAAAAATACACGTGCACACACCCACTATTTATATATGGAAAAAATTACATTTTTGTGTAATTTCAAATTTTGAACATTGAAAATGATTGAGAAAAAAAAATTCACATCACATGAAACATTTACATACAACTAACACTTATTCTTCAAACACAGAATCCAATACTTGATATACTTTATATGAATTTTCTTTTTTTTTTGTATACAAACAACAACAAAAATAAAATAATGATTTTGATGATGACCAATTCGATAGCCAGCCACCACAAACAAGCTAGCTACATTTGTGGCCAATTAAACTAATTAGCCTTAAATATCACACACAAATACACACAGGTATAGAATAACCACGTACACAGAAAACAAATTTGGTGGCTACAGTTTTACACAATACACACACAAACACAGAATTTTTATTAAGATAAATAAATAATTTATCCGATTCAGAACTGGTATGTGTGTGTGTGTGTGTCGAATCTGATTAATTTATTTATTTCAAATAACCCACAAAAGTAACAGAAAACAAAAAACACCCACGAAAAAAAAAAATTCACCAAAATAGCCGCAGAGATCGATTTTGGACAACAGCAACAAAAGAGAAGTAAAAAGAAATTTCCATTGAAAAAAAATGAACACAAACACAAAATGTAAAAAAGTTCGAATTTGGAAATTTCGAATTTTTCACATTTTTATTCCACAAACACAACAAAATTAATTGGCACAAACAAAATCACATCATCTTCATTTTTTTTTGAAAAAATTTTATTTGATCATTTGATGATGAAATTCTTGAATGAATTCACAAGTTTGATTGTAAATGTAAAGGTGTTAAAAAATTATTGTTGAAACTATCATAGACTAACAACAACAAAGCAATGAATAATGGAATATTCATCATAACGGATGCAATGGTGCTAATGGATGGATGAATGGTATATTCAAATTTGGATTTCTTATTTACATCATCATCATATATAGTGGTAAATCTCTAAGGATACATGATGTACAAGTGTGTGTGTAAATGAAATACTAATAAACATTTTTCCTATATATTGTCATTGATAAATCTGATATAAAGTGATCAATGAATATTATTTGTCAATGATATGATGGACAAATTATGTATTGTGTTGTTCCAGAAAAAAACACATTACATATCGATATGTCTAATAAATGGACTTTTCACGTTCATTATTATGGTTATTTTCAGATTGATTTTGTATTATTTTTTTTGTTTGTTTTTATTTAATCAAATATCAAATGAACAAACGGAAACGATTTATATATATAGTTTATTTATTTCAATTATCATAGACATGATCGATATCAATGAGACTATCAGACAAATCTTTTACAGATGAAAAAAAAGTTGTTCATGATAAATAATATTCAATGAATATGGGACTAAATTCAATGAAGTTCTCTCTGTGTGTGTGTGTGTGGGTTTTGTTGTTGTTTTGTTGTTGTTGTTATTGGTCTTGTGGTTGATCCATAACAAAATATCAAACACGCAAACCTTTCGTCTCATTTATGTGTATTATTACTATTATCATTTCAGGTCATATAAATTTTGTTTTTTTTTGTTTTCACACAATAATGAAACAAAAAAAAAATTGTGATGATCCAGATGATAGTATTAGTGGTAGCAGTAATAATAATAAAAATCGGTAGTCGTGGTGTTAATTAATTTTTTTTTCAAGGATAATAATAAAAATTAATAATAATTAACATATATTTCTGGATTCATTATGGTGTTGAAGAATTATCGTCATTATCATTATCATTTTTTTTGGAATTGAATTTTGGAATTAACCGAAGCGAGAAAATAAAAAACAAAAAAGACAGAAACTAAAATTCTTCCGGAAGTATAATGGTGAATTTTTGTTTTGTTTTGTTTGGCATACACCACAACAAACAGAATACAAAGAACAACAACAAAAAACAATGGACAAGAGAAAGAATGGATCAAAGAATAAAGAAATTCTTTAATTTTTTTTTCTTTTGATGAAATTATTATTACACTTTTAATGAATGATGATGAATTTGGGGGTGGTAATGATGATGATGATAAGTAATTAATACACAAGAGAATAATATTACACAATAGAAACGTGCGCAAAATAGAGATTTTTGTATATATACAAAAAAAAATATCAAAATAAATGCTGCGCGCACATACCACCACACACAATATACACACACAAACAAACACATTGAAATTATATATTGGAGAATCCATAAAACAATTTTTTTTTTCATGGATCTTACATCGATTCAAGCCTAACAACGACTGAAATGAATGAATTCATTCAAACCGAGACACAGAAATTTTTAACCAACCATCAATGTGTGAATGGAGGCAGACGATTTTGTTTTTTTTTTTTTTTTTGTTTTCACACACACACATATTCTTCATTGATGATAACCGCTACCTAAATTTTTTTTTCTTCGGTCCTGATATCTACAACATCAGTATACTGATATGCTACTAGTAAAATTATCTCTCTCTCACTCTGTCTTTCCGTGTTATACTTCCAGTGTTATGCATTCATAGTAAGTATGTAATACATTCAAAATTTCGAATAATTGGAAAAAATGAATAGAAAAAAAAGAAGATGCTACTTTTGCTTATTACGAAATAAGAATGACCAATAAGAAAATGAATAAGATAAAATGATTATTATGATAATGAAATTGTCAAAGGTGACGATGATGATGATGATGAACACATTGGATTGAAAATGAAATCAAATTAATCAATCGTTTTCAATATATTACAATGTTCAATATCGAAAACTATTTCAAAATCAATCAATAATCATTGTCATTGTAAATTTATGTTCCAAGAATTGTGTAGGATATTAAATGGAAATAAAAAGAAAAATAAATTGAATTCAGAATTCGAATCTCTTAAAAAAAAAAATAAATAAAAGAATTTTTTCTCTTTTGACTCTTTTACAATGCTACTGATGAATGGTGTATTGCCAGATATTTGAGCATCGCTAAATTTATATGGAATCGTTCTGTTCTGGTCGATCGTTGCATGGTTATTTATGACATTTTGGTCATCTATCTAAATTCTAGTTTAGTCTACCATGTGTTCTGTGTTTTTGTCCAGATATATATATAGATAGATGACTATACTAGGAATTGTATACATATATATGGATTCATAGTTCATTTGGTAAAAATAAAAAATAAATAAAAAAATTCCACCCACTTATGGATCGTGCAATAATTAGATTAACCCTGTAGTCGTATCAGCGTTATCTTGTTGCTGTCCATAGAATACAATGCATTTTTTTTCTATTGCTTTGGGTTTGAAACCATAAAAAATCTGGCTACTGTCATATATCGATAATAATAATAATTCAACAAATTAGTATCGTTAGTAATGGATTTTTATATTCGTTATATGTGTATATGTGTGGGTGTTTGACGTTCCATATAATTTTTTTGTTTCATTCGAATATTTCACCATTATGAATATATGTCGATGCTTATATTTTCGATGATAAATGGTTCATCATCATCATCGTCATCATCATCAATGGATCATGGTTCATTCCGTTATATTATGATCCATATAATGGTGACGTTATAATGATGATGATGATGATGACGATGAATCCAAGGTCCAATATTGTGCAATAGAATACCATTAGTCTCATCCTCAATGAATTAATAATCAATTTAGCATCCATGACTGTGTTTGAAATGATGCAAGAAAAAATAAAAATAAAAAAATCAGTAACGATATAAATGAACGAAACCAAAAAAAAAAAAAAATCACACTAATCGTCACATTGAAAATTAAAGTTTTTCATTTTGATCTAATTGATTTTTGAATGGGCGAAAAATTTTTTATCGATTATCATTTTATATGCTTGAGATGTGAAACAATTTGAATTTCTTCTGTTAAACTAAGGGAAAAAGGTCAACTTTTTTTGTATTGATTCAATGTTTATGCTTCTTCTTCAATTTTTGAAATAATTATGGAAATGATTGTGAAACCATTGCAAAAAATGCAAAAAATTCTGAAAAATATCCATACATTAAATATGCAGATTCACAAAGAATAAATTCTGAGATGAAACTTTTTAAGAATTTAATTAATTCTGAAAAAATATCCATACATTAAATAAGATTCACCAAGAATAAATTCTGAGATGAAACTCATTTCTTAAGAATTTTCCCGGTTGTTTTCACTGAGCACTAAGCAAAATTTTTCCCTTTAAGTCTATGTTTGCTGTAATTGAAAATGAATAATTAGATTAAAAAAACTTTTTTTTCACTATTTATATTCTGGCTCATAGACTTCATTCATTGATCATATTCAATCAGAGGGTGAGCACAAAAATCTTTTTTAAATGGTTTCTTCCTTTGATATTCATATCATGATCGACTTGAAACCCCAGGAAATAAAATCGATGTCAAACAATGACAACTAGAAATGGAAAAAAGCCAAAAAAAACTTCAAGTTTCGCCCAAAGGCTTTTTCCGGGGTTATATACCATTTATGAAATTGTTTTTCGGTATCAAATGAAATGAAATGCACACTGATAACGTCAAAACCCAAACAAAAGAATCCTTATTCAAGAGATTCATTTGATTCCAGCGAATATAGTCGAATGTCAAACTAGATTCTTCAAATTAG